GAGAAGGCGGGCTCACGGACGATCGTCGGTCGACGGTTCAGTTCGAGGTCCCCATCGCCGTGCCGCGCGCGTCCCTGTATTCCCCTTCGACAACAGCCTTTCCGTTTTGCCGCAACTTTCCCCCTCTGTGTATGTTCAAACAGAGACAGCAAATTCTCTCCCTCCCCATCACACTCTTCCCCTCGTGCAGGAAACCCGAATAGCGGAGCGCGCTACCGTGCCACCGGTCATATCTCGTTCTCTCTCTTTCTCTTTAACGCCCACGGGTGTGTAAAGCCGTATATACCGCGTATGTGCTGTCGCGTAGGGCGGGCACGTGGGTGAGGGGTACAAGGGGAAGTACATATATACACCATTTACATATATACATTTATATATATATATGTACAAGCGCACATCGTCACAAGCATTTCCCCTCTTCGTAGCCACGTCGGCGGTGGCCGACCACCGTCGGTATTGAAATATCCTGGCCCTGGAGAGCCAAGTAGCCGTGCAGCGATGCCGCTTCTCTTTATAACCACTACGCTCTGCACCAAGAGACCGATCTTCCTTTCCTTTCCTCTTCCCCACCCTTTCTCATCGCATGCACCTTTCCTCTTTCTTCGTCTCTTTGTCTGCGTCTTCCGTCCTCCCTCCATTCTCTCTTTACACCCTTCCCCCTTTGTTCTCCGTTTGACTGTAATGTTGGTAATCCGTCTCTCTTGCCTTCTGTGCCCTTGTTCGGTACGGTTTGTCGCGGGATGGATGTTGCGTACCCTCTTTCACGACTTCACTTTTCCCCTTCTCCCTTTTCGCCGTCCGATTCGAGTTTCGCCTCCCTTTGAAGCGCAATCAATTGTTGGACGAAGTGTTGTGCGCAACCCTATGACCGACGTACAAAAGCAAAAATGCCAGCGTGCGTCGCGCGCTCGGCTTTCTCGAGTCGCGCGCTATTGCGCAACCATGAAATACACAAAGCCGATGTAGATGGCGTGCCGCGGGTACGCAGCTTATGGCATGTCCCCTCCTTTTCCTTCTTTCCCCTGCATAAGCAATGCTCTCCTTTGTTCTTCGTCGTCGTTGTCGCTGCTGTAGTGCACGCTTTTAAAGTAACCTCCTTAATCTCCTTAACACTGCCATCAGGATTCTGTTTAAAGTAATCTTTCGTTATTTTACATTTCCAAATGATTCAAATGCGACATGTTTAACTTTGTTACTTCGGTTTACACGACAATCTACACGTGACAAATCTGGGATGAGAGCTGATTTAATTTTAGAATCCGATACTGATTGTGTAATAACAGTATTACGAAATGACGAAACCTGTGTGTATGTCTTTTAACTGCGTTGGTATCTTAACAAGCACATTCTATGGTCCATCTAATTCGCACGTGTTTTGTTGATATATGCTTCGAAGCGTCGCCGTACCATCTTTATGGTTATGAGCGAAGATATATGACTGCAAAAGAAATAAAAGGAACAAGCAAGTACGTAGAAGTAGCATAGCGACCAAGAGATGGCGGCTAGCTAATTAAAGCTGCGCAAGAACGCGATAAGCAAAGGCAAACGCGCACGGAGTCGCAGCGCACGCGACTAAAGATACGGGAGAACGATGAGGCCACTGATTCGTGTTTCTCATTATGCGGGCCGTCCATCGCGGACACGGCAACGTCGAAAGCAGGGCGTGGCGCGTTCTTCGTGGATCTAATGGTACGTCAGGATCCGCTTCAAAATCTTCTATCAAATGTTGAAATCGTTTCTATGATGAGTCACTTTCGAAGATTAACAAAAACGTCACGCGTTTATTCTCTGTCGAACGAGTCGAGCCGGAAACTGTAAATAAAACCATGTGATCAAAATCTAGAGAAACATAATCTAGCGTACAATATTTGAAATTTTGAGATACTAGAAAATAGAAAGTTACACTAACCTCTTAAATGAGAAAATTGAGTGTATCTACTAGGTTAGATTGTCGCTAAAAGACAATTACATTAAATTTATCAATTCAGTTTAAAAATATACCTTATTATACTTATAATAATTTACCTTCCCTTATTCAACTCAGTAAATCATTGCTGTATCATATTTATGATTTATACCATCCTTTCTGCTCGTAAATCATGTTTGAGGTTACGAAGAAATGGTGGATAGATTAAGAGACAGTTAACACGCATTTATGCAGGAATAATGGCTAATGTACCGAGTAAACAACATAAAGAGAGATAAAGGGAAACGTGTGGTGTTATACATACCGTATGTTATTGCTGAAAACATCACATCGAAGATTATCGATAGTGAATATTAGAAAATCGATCGAGACCCACCGGATTCTGCAACTGCGAAACAATAAGCTTGACAACGTTGCATGGAATTGTTGGTATTGTTTCACACGTAAGATCGAATAATATTCAATATTCACGACAATTCTTTTTTATTATTCCAATATCGTATAAGCTATCTGTCAAAAGCAATCAGTGTTGCAAGCCGCTCTGTATTGCATATGGTATTGCATGAATACGAGAATCGATACATCTCGCGCATCGACCTTACATCCTTTGCTAGTTATCGATTAATAGCAGTCGGAAATCGAATATCGAGTAACTTACAGAAGCATCATACGATAGCCATCTTAACTTTTTCGATCTAGTTTATCGTGTAGTTTCTAGATTACGACTAATTGGGTTTAGTTAATCGATAGATAACTAATAGGTATTGATAAGTGATAAAGAGAAATGTAAAAAGTGACATTTTGTAGTGAATTAGTTGTACATAAAGCTATAATAGAATATGCGTTCGAGTAGTTTTGACGTGTGCGCGCGTTCCCTCGAGAGAGACCAGGAGAACCGAGTTCGAGCAGTCGTCTCGTGGAAAAAGTGACCATTTAATAACTCAGGATCGAATTATGATATCAAGGTAACGTTTTCTACGTAACATTCTCTACCATTTGTCATGTTTATTTATATAAGGGTCATCTTCATCCGATAAGTAGTTTTTTAAATAATCGATGTTTTAGGTTAGCGTACTTGGAGACATTCTCAAGTCCATTTCGGAGATTGGGAACTCGTTTACTATGTTCTTCTTCTTCATTATCCGCCATGTTTGTTACTATTATTCTCTTCTAAGACTCTATTGGTGGAAATCTAACACAGTTTTTAAACCTAACCAATTACGAAACGAGAAGCGAAATGAATTCGAATTATTAACTACTCGCAAATCTTGACGAATCATATCGTCCTGTACGAGTGCTATGTTTTCGTATATGTACTTACATATCATTATGTGTAAATGTACTAATTATATGTAAATGAATTATCGGTTTTCCAAGACAGTATATGCATTTTATAATGCGCAGTAGATGCCTGTGTACGTAAAAGATTAATCGCGTGTCAGTCGCATATAATAGTGATGCCTCGATTACGTATGAAAGGAATATCCATACCTATATGTTTCGTTTTCGACCTTTCGAAAAATCGACTCTACTATTTTTTTCTGTCTTTTTTATTTATCTCTATTTGATTTTCATTTGAGTCGTTCGAAAGCGAGAACTCGATGAATCTTTCATACGATATGGCGTTTGATATGTATTGTTCGGAATCCATTCGTGTAACCGACACTATGGATTTATAAATTTTTCACGTTGCTCGTGTATTCTCGACCGATATCGTACTCTTTTACCGCCCCGCTGGATCAACCGGCTGAATTTGTAACATGAATCTTAACAGTGAGTTGTAGACAAACTATGCGTTCTTCGAGTGCTTAATATCCATTCATGTCATGGAAGAAGCGTCACTTATACGTAGTAATTTTATTACTGTTCGCGCGTGAAGCAGACAATCTTTGTTTGACAATTAGCATAGTTTTGAGATTTTTGACACATAATCTATGTATAAATGTTGTTAATTTGTAATTTGTTTAGGATGTTTTCTTATTCTTATTCGTAGATGGTATGTTTTTAAGCATGATTTGGAATTGTTTACTATTCGTTTTAGATACATAGGAATTATAAGTAACATACGACAGATTATTTAGTTTCGCTCTTTTATATTAGACAGAGCGAAATATCTTTTGATGTTCGATATCAATTTCAATTGAGAAATTTCGATCAATTATGTTAGAATTAAATTATCAATATCGGTAGAGTACAATCCTTTTAGAACTAGATATTCTAATGTGTCTAATTTATTCATATTTAAGTCTCTACCAAGACGTTCTTACTCTTTTTTTTAGAAAAGGTACGATCTATTTTTCGCTTAATGTTCATACTAATTACTCAAATTACGCACAAGTATTTAGTACTATAAGAAGCATAGGTACTTCCAACTATATTATACGCTTCAGTTGTTGCTTATTCATTCAAGACAATAGTGTGCGAGTAAGATTAAAGTGAATAACAAATTCACTTTTTCTACACTTGCTATTTAAGCGACTTTCACAATTACGTGCACATAACGCGTCAATTTATCAGCCCTTGCTTATCATCCTTGACTACCTAAGTACCTGAGAAAGGTGCCAGCGATACAGTTTTTACCTGGTTTCTTATCACGATCAATTCATCATCGTCTAGGCTTAACACTACCGCCATCGAGTTAATACAGCTTTCTTCTATTTTTAGGCGGTGTTTTAATGGCCGAGTGGCGCTTACCATCGTCGGTGATTCGTCAAGCATGCATTCGCCTTGTAGACACCCGGTAGACGAGCAACTACCCACGTAAGTTCGATTATTAATTCAGCGGCGGGAGCGCGCGGCGCATAGGCTTGGCGCAATGTGTCGCTCTTTATACGGACCGACGCATAACGCGTTGTACTACCAGCGTGACAACGAGCTTGCGAACATCCCTTAACACTTTCGAAGTGTTGTTGGATTTTTCTTGCAACAATGGTGACAAGCGTTAGACTGCGGATGTTTATGCAAATTAACGGAACCTAAGCAAAGATTTCTTTTACACGATAAATATTACAATAGGTATATAATATATGATAATGAATATTATAATACCGTACTTTGGATATTTTATACATTTTTTTGTATTATCAGCATTCTGCACATTTTTTCCGCTCTAAATTTTCTATCAGTTTATTTTCCTATAAATAAATGCGCAGTTGAATCATGATACAATAGCATGGTCTGTAATAGTTTCAAATTTTCAAGACACAAGTTATGTATATGATCCCATACTTATATGTATAATCTAGTTCTAGGTTCTAGTAGACATCATAGATGTTAGAAAAACTATAGGTAATAATCCAGAGTAGCTTATGGTCTCGAAAGGTCTTAAATAACACGTTTAAAATGAATAGATTCAAAATTAATAGAAAATTAAAATTCAACAAAAGTAAGTATGTTATGGCGTTGAAAAAACGATGAAATAGAATTATATGCAGGTATATCTATAATCTATAACATAAAGATGGAAAGAAGTCTCGTGGGACGAGACAGAAGCAAGGGACGTACTGCCTTCCATTGCTCAGTGTCACGCGTTGCTACATTGCTTTGTCTGTGTATGCGACACCTTCGGCCAATATGCGTGCTTAACTTTACGATTGTGTTGAGTCTGTCAAAAACAACCAATCACATCCGCATTCCTTCCAAAGGACCTTTTTTCAACTCCGATTTGACTTCATTACCTATTATGTATATAATAATTACATATATAATACACAAAAAAATACTAGCATGTCTTTTTTAAAATCATTCATCATGGGAAAACTCATTAAACGCATGATAGAACTGTTTCAAAAAGTAATTCAAATGTAATATTTATACCGACATACAGTGCGGTAGTCTTATTAAACTGATTCCGTGTTATTCAGGGCTCACAGTGCCTGCAAATCTTAGGATCGTAAAGGGAACGATATAAATTGGGTGACTTTGTTACTTGATCCTCCATGCAGTTCAAGTGTTATCCAAGGGATTTCCGTGTACAGACTGAATGAAGATAGGTAGTATGGTCGTTGGAATATGTCGCTGGAAGAAATATAGCGAGCTGCTGAACTAGAACATTAAATAAATAGCATAATCTGGATCACACGTGATATTGTACCTAGGTTTTTCGATGGGAACTACTAGATCTAAAGCAAAACAGTACTTAATGAAATTGCAACTGCGGTTTTAGATACTCATTTTCCTCCTCTTTGCTTAATTCGTTCGAGTATTCTCAATCATTAAAAACTTTAGCCTCTGATCGATTTTACAATCTCGCTATATCTCTTTCATGAAGTACACGATCGACTATAGGATAATTTCTTCTGCTTCAGATTTCTGATCAACCTGCAAAATTCCATGAACATTCTCTTTTTCCTTATAGAAGTATCGCGCGATAGGCATTTTACTTTTACAGAATTGCTTTATACATTATAGTTAACGGTTACTTCGTACTTCTTATATTATTTATAAATATATGGATTACATCTAATTAAGAAATCAAAGTAAGCACAAATGTAACAAAGTAGGAATCCGGATACTCGCCAGTACTAGCGTACACAGTATCTTTGTACTTTATATAGCGAACGAATCGACTCAGACAAATACATTTTCAGATTCGTGTTAAGTTTTGCCAATGCGGTGGCGATAGTTGGTCCTCTCGTGATGTCAATACAATTTTTAAATATAAATATATTCATAGAAGATACCTCTACAAGCGCTGGAAAAATTTTCGTGAGCTGTATATTATACTACTACTATACTACTATACTACTAATATATATATACTACTAATAGCTGTAATATTATACTAATCTTATAATATCAGAATCTCGTTGTTCGTCTTAAGAAAAGTAAATGGGGATAGTAACGGTCAGTTAGCGAGGCATATGTATCCTATCGCGAATAGCCACGACACGACGTAACGAGCAACGTGAATGTACCTACGTCGTGGTGTTGTTATCAGCGCCGTGTTATCGCGCGAACTCGTCTCACGGCGCTTAAGTGCGTTCTGTTGGCTCGCGAGTAGCGTCGCGACTCCCACGTGTACGTGTATGCGCGCGCGCGCGCGCGCTCGCTCGTAATCGCGCGAGTACCAGTGAAAAACCTCTCGACGCTCGAGAGCCTCCGCTGATTAGGTAACGGCGAACGAGTATCTTTTTTGCTTGGTCGTTCGCCTGGAAACGAACGATGTTCGAGTCTCGGTACGTTCGTTTCGATCGTCTGCGAAAATCCCTCCTTTCCATCTTTCGTGTATCTTTTCTAAAGTTTGTAAGCGCACAGAACCGGCGTTTAGCTTTTGAAAATTATAATCCGAACTATAATCGAGGACCAATAAGGTAGTCTCTGATAATTGACAACTTCGATATTTTGTTCCGCTGTAGCTGAATGATATTATAATACATTAAATACATTATGCAAATTCTTCATAAATAATACATTTGTGGTAATGGTCCTTATATGCGAAAATAACGAGGATTATTAGGATCACAATAACGATGAACTATATGAGATTTGGTTTGTTATGACGTTAGATCGATGAATTTTCCGAGCAAGTTTCGCTCGAATAAAATGTAGAAACGCGTTTGATAACGTCTTTGTGACTATATAATTACACGGTATTCCGTGTTTTCACGCTTTACATGAGAAATTAGTGATCGAAATATTATTAACCGTTTGGGGAAAATTCGCTCTGGACGTACGTTTAGTCTTTGTTTCATTCAAGTGTGATTCCGATGGAAAATATTTTCAGATATAAAGAAGTTATTACTAGAGCGCGGATTTTTATGCATTTATGCAAGAATGTAGAAAATATTCAAGATATACGATATTTGTTACGATATTTAGAGTGAAAGATGCAACTCTATGTAGATTTCGTTTTCTCAATTCTTCCCATAAATATACGAATTTATAGAAGTACTCATAGTTTAACACTTGTGTTACCCGATTCGTCGGTTTGTTACGTATTGAGTCGAATTACCGATATATTGTAAGATTTACCATTCGAACGCGATTCAGTGATATAGCGCGCATGAAATATTCCGAATCGAGCGGCTAAAAGGTTAAACGGGAAGCTATTTTTCTCTGATCGTTACAGTATCGTTTCATCTAATAACGCGAGGATGTAATAAAGATAAGCTGGCCATTCAGAAATTACGCAATACCGGCTATAATGGCGCATAAACTGCATATACAACTTCGTTCATCGTTATATAGCATCGATGTTGAAGATAGGCCGAAATTCTTCATTCCAAGGTTTTCCATCCTTAAATAAATAAACAACAAACGAACGTAATCGCAAGTTCTGCGCTCTGTACTTAGCGTAAATTGAAAGTTAATTTTCCTACAAACTATTCCTAAAGAACTAATCGAAGAATTCTTAGAATTCTTAGAAATCAAATTTACCCATTGATTTTCCTATTTTGTACGAATTTTTGTTCCTTTTAAATCCCTCGTTACGATATGTTTCTTAGACTTGTAGCGGCCCATCATCACACGAGCGTGAAACATATCTGACTATCACAAGTATTCACTCGTTTCGTCATTTAAATCAACACGTTTAATATTCACCACAGACCAAACATTAAGAAATTTGCTATTTCATTAAGAACACCAAGTTCGCAATATCTTTATTTGATCTTTGGAACACACGACTCGTATGAATTTCGTGATTAATTGTCTTAATCGTTACACCGTGTTATTAATCTCTTCAACTATGTATTCTTGAGAAATGTTGTTAGTTTTAGAAGGAAACGATAATTCTTTAATCTTCATATCCTCTTACTAATATATATGTATATATATAGAGAGAGATGTACATATATCTATCGTTATTGATTTAAATATGTTGGTAATAGAGATGAATGAATTGTAATGACGCTTGGACTAAAGTCGATTCTCGTAATGAATGACTATACAGCTATTCGACTGTAGTTGAATGTTACAGCATAAAAGATAATTATGTATATTCAAGCTCATAAAATATGATTAATAAGATTAGGTTACGGCAAGAAATGGGTGAATTTGGAAAACCATATGTACGTACGCGGAAAACCATTAAAAATTATTGTAAAATCCGTAGTAAATACTTTGCACTTTCAATGGATCTCATTAAAAATTCTATATCTATACCGTTTTTAATTTAGTTATCTTAATACTCGTTGTATTATGACGTCGTTTGGTTGTAGATTTTCAGTAATGAACGTGGCACGACAGGATTATCTTTTTAACGATATGATGCACGATCACGCTATAGTAGATTCTAGACGGATGCAAAAGTTCAATCAGTTTCTGACGCGATAAAAGTATAACAAATATTTGCAATATTTTTATCCAGTTTCTATGCGTCTACGTATCCGCTTGAATGCCAATAAATCGCCATTGCTATGTTCTCTCATATTCAAATTTTTTAAACTAATCGCCGCATCCTCTATAAATATTCTTGAAAGCTTGTACTGCGTTTCCGAAATATCGCATATAGATAACATAATGTGCAATGCCGTATATAGACTGTAATTAGGAAAATGAAATATAAACGAGAATGCGGTTTTTTTTTTACTGAAATAAATCATTCGTAGTTATAACGTAAAACCAGTTTCCCTATTTTGCCTTTATAATTTATTTAAGAAAATCATTCGTAGTTATAATACAGAACTAATTTCTATTTACATCTACGATTTATTTAGAAGAATCGTCTGTAGTTACTATTTATGCGCAACTAGCTTCTATTTAAGTGCGCCGTAATTTATTTAAAGAAAAATAACGGTGGATAATATATCAAGGAAACGTCGAGCTAAAATTTTGCGTCCATGTAACATAAAGATCGAGATCGAGTAATATAAAGGCGGAGTCGTAGAGAGTCAGAATCGGGCAACGAGATCGCAACGACGACGTTTACGTTCGCCCGTCTGCATCGGTTGTAACCGCTTTTGTCACTATGCAAGCGCTACCAAATGGTTTCCGTTTGGCAACCAGCGCTCCGAGCGAAATTCAGCGGCGCGGCGTCGAAAACGGTCGTTGGCTCGCTGCTAGCGTCGCACGATAACGCGTGGGAAGACGCCGAGGACGTTCCTTTTTGTCGCGCGAGCAGCGGCGCGTGTTGGCCGACGATAAATAGAGACAATGTGCGCGACACGCGATAGATATCGTATCTCGATCGAAGCCTCGACACTCGTTCGATTATCAAGCGCGCTTTCTCCGACCAGATCGAGTAGCA